ATGTCTTAGCCACACTGGTGTCTTAGCCACATCAGTGTCTTAGCCACGCCATCAGGATATACATTTGTACAATTACATTCCAATGCTTTAATACCTGATAATTGGCTACAATATTACAGCTAAGACTTTGAGGTAGAAAAGTGGTAATATAGGGCAATTCCAGCCTTACATTTGCAAGGTCTTATGCTTTAGTGGTATAGCACGCTGCGGTTACTTTCGGGCCGCGGGTTCGATTCCCGCCTGTGCCATTTTTTGGGCTTTTCGGAAATTCTTCAGCGTGTCTTAGCCGCTCTTGGGCGCTTCTGGTGGCTAGTCCGGTGTAACTTAATAAGTTCCCGTGTCTGGGCCGCCGAACTGAATCAGCTCACGCTTTTCCCCATCTCACCTTGCAACTCGGCCGTCGCTCTCGCACACCTGCTCAGGAAGGCCAAGGTAGACCATGTTTTACTAGGACGTGAACCCGCCATGCAAGACGTATATGCCGAGGCGGTGAAGATCCTGAAAGCCGACGGGGACACTATTCACGGTGCTAATTAGTTAATATTTTCAGCTGAAAGAGGCACGAAAATTGTTATGAGAATAGAACCTAAAAAGACCGAACACTTTCTGGTAAAAACATATGATAGGTAAAACCTGGAAGTAGGAGCCAAACAATGACACCTTTTTCTGGTGAATCTTGTTCTAAAAAGATGTTCTGCTTGCAGCAAAAAGAGGGTACAAATACCGCTGGGCTATCCATATATAGAATAATGAATATATTTTCCATTAAGATAGGTACAAAAAAAGTACACATCTACTATCTATTTGTTTGAATAGGAGAGCTTACTTTTGTCACAAAAGAACTGTAATACAAATATACATTAACTATTTTTTGGCGTCGCCGTGAGTGCCCACTGACATTTTCATTGGTCGCCCACTGACATGTTCACTGGTCGCCCACTGATCTACCCGCCGGTTGCCTGAACAGCGCCCGCGAACGCGGGCGGGTCGGGCGATGCGAGCAAACACACGACGAGCGGTGGAAGGGCGAGAACTCGCGAAATTAAACATGGTGAGAAAAGAATCGAAGAGAAGTGCAGCAGGAACGAGCGAAGACGAAAGCGGCCGCCCGTCAGACGTCTGCGAGGATGCCGACGATGATCTGCTTCACCGTCCACCTCTCCGGCGCGGCGAGCTCGGGCGCCGGCTGGTCACGCACGGCAGGGTGCATGACGCTCCCGAGGATCTCGTCGTCGGGGCCCGCGCGCACGTGCAGCCGGTACGAGACCTCGTGGGGGAAGACCCGCCCGACGTCGATCTCGCTCACGTCCCACACCTCGGGCGCCGGCAGCGGCGCCATGAGGCTGCTCGGAGCGAAGCTGTCGCGGCTCGTGAACGCCACCGTGCGCGGCGCGTGCAGCGGCCCGTCGTGTGCGCGACGAAGGGAGGCATGATCAGCCCCGGCGTCGACGTCGGGTCCCTCGACGCGCACCTCGACGCTGCGCATGCTCCCCGCCTTGCGGTGGCCCTGCGGATCTCGGCGTCGAGGCTGCGCCCGCAGAGCACGCGGTACGCGCGCACGAGCGCCGTGGCATCGCAGTGCGCACGCAGCGTGAGCAGCTCGCCGTCGAGCAGCGGGTGGTGCCGCGCGGCGGAGAAGAGGTTTTGTTTAAGTGGTCGTGCATTGTAAGCGGCGATTTACCGTTGGTAAGTGACCACCACCGTGACTGTTTCGGCGATGAGTGGGCAATGTGTCGGCAATGTGTGGGCGATTTCCTAGCAAGTGGGCCATCAGTGCGCAGGACGATGAGTGGGCGCACAGCGGACGACGAGAGGGGGGTGGTGGGCCATGAGTGGGCGATCAATATTATGTCTGAAAAGAAATATCAGTTTTTTTCATACGAGTTTCCCTGATAAAATTTCAGCTTTTCTACCTCATATGTTGCGGAGACGGGGACCACAAAATAAGTTTGTTCTTTTTGTCTCACCTAGAGGGAACCTTTTCGGGGAAAATATAGAGAAAGAAATGATGATTATTTCGCCCTGAGGATATTTCGGGTCTTCTAATACCTCAAAAGGTGTAAAAGCAGTGTATCTTTTTCTACCACTAAAACGATAACATCCCCATGGAGAAATAGCTTAAGTGTATTTACGAAACAGACTGAGCGCGTTTTTGTACCTCTATCCGTGTAAAATAGTATAAAATCAGCCCCGTGTAACCCAGCGTCTCTCCGAAGAGTCCCCGGCGCCGTGACTACCCAACACCCTTCGCGTACTCCAAATCCGCGCATGGGGCTATGAACGCTGTATGTCATGCCTACGCAGCGTCGCCATTCACGGTATTCTCCTCTGCCCTAGAGGCCCCCACAAGACGGTCGAGTGGCAGAACCTCTAGACGCTCACTGGCCGGCTGCCGAAGGAGACCCGGGAGAGGCGATCTTGCACCCCCTCCAGCCGACTATTGAAGGGCGGTAAGCAGCCGGGAACCTTCTCAAGCCGGCTATCGAAGGACGAGAAGCGATCTTGTGGCGCGTTCTCGATAGACGAAACGTGGGTTTGCAGCTTGCTGAAAGGCAGGGCCCGGGATGCAGGAATTGAACCTACAAATCGTGCTGGACACAGCTGAGCAGGGTATCGGGGTCCCAGGGTCTAGACGGCCCCCGACCACCCCTTAGCGCTCTACTAGTACCCCACACTCCCCTAGCTGGCGCTCTCCAGCAGTATCTCCAGCAAACTTGGTAGCGTTCCCTTGTCGGTGCACGTCGAAAGAGCATCTAGATGCTCAACTACGTCTCAGTGAGTCAAGCGTAATGTGGATGCAATAAAGTATTATACTTTTGTAGGACGCAAAGCTGAGGGCCTTCCAAGATACTAACCGCGCTTTAGTCGAGCTGGAAGACCCTTTGCCGTAACATTCCTCAGCTATTTGCTTCTTATCAGAAGCGAATCGTGGAAGTCTCCCCTCCCATGCAGTGTCCACGTTCATCTATTAGCTGTCCGTCGTCATGAGAATTGAACCTG